ATGGGAGGCCTGACTTTTTTTTAAAGAGAAAGGAAGAGGAGTGGATGGGGGCAGGGAGGAAGAGGGAAAGTTGGGGGGGAAGACTGGGAAGAAACAAGGTGAGGAGGGGAAACAGTGATGGGGATGGGGAAAAAATTAATTAAAAATTGAAAAGAAAAGCTTTGTACTGTTGTTACTGCTACTTATATAAAACTAGATAGACTTTTTTTTAAAAAAAGGTTTTTTAAATTTTTTTTGTTTTGTTTTTCATTTTTTGAAATTTTTTGGATTTCTCTGTGTAACAATCCTGGCTATCCTGAAACCCTCTTTGTAGCCCAGGCTGGCCTCAAACTCACAGAGATCCACTTACTTCTGGCTCTTGAGCGCTGTTATTAAAGGCATGCACCACGATGCTTGGCTCAAAACTACATTTTTCTAATGGAAAAAAAAAAACAAAAAACAAAAAAAAAAAAAAAGCCTAAACAAGCAAAAGAACGACCTCTCCAGTTAACTCTTTAATTACCTGAAGGAAATGAATAAAACACTGGAAGATAGAAAGAATTTCCATGCACACAGAATGGGACAGTACTGTGACAAGAACAATACCAGAAAAAGATTAGTATATTAACTCAAACTCCACGACAATCAAACTTCCCATGACACAGTACAGAGAGTCGTACAAATTTCCACGGTAGCACAGAGACCCTGAGAGTACAGAGCAGCCCACAGGGCAGAGGTTTTGTTGTCCCAGCTTTGACTTTAGACGAGACTGCAGAGCCATATGACCAATAAACCCATGGGAGCAGCAGAAGAACAGACAAACAGCTCAGTGCACCACAGCAGCAGATGGAGAACTAGACCAAGAGCAGCGACCATGGCAAAGTCACCAAAATACCACACACTTTTTGCACAACAGGCAGCCTCGTAAACCAATGGCGTTGGGGAAAGTATCTATCCACACAGAAAATATGAGCCTGGATCCTAGTCTCTGCCACTGTAAAATGAACCACAGGTCTTCATGGATGATCTGGAACAGTGAAACCTGCACAGAAACAGAAAGTAGGAATATGCCCATATGTGGACGTCGGAAACTTGTCTTGAACAGAACAGCACACATAAGCACAAACTGGCAAACAGGACTGTATGCAATATGAATGCATTTCAGTTTTCAAATACTAAAAGCAATGAAAGGGAGAAAGCAGACAGTGATACAGGGAAGCTCCGACATTCACTATCCATTGATGCATAAGAAAATCAGACAGAAAACCAATAATGCCTAGCAGGTATCCAGAAACTAAACCACACAATAGTAGGAGATTCTCAGGTAGAGTTCTCTAACGCCAAGAAATACTCTGCACTGTGCTCATGTTTTAGAATTACCAAAAAAAAATTAGTTAATGTCAATGTTTCAAAAACTCTCTTCTCAAAGAATCTGGAACACGGAAACCAACAGCAGGTAGAAAACAAAATACATTAAAAGACAACCGAAGAGTGATTCATTGCTAGCATGTGCTCATTCAAACATGTAAAGACAACATAGGGAAGGTCTGGGTACTATAAAGATTCTAAGTAATTTGTACCCAAATCTTAGAGGTATTTTTTTTTTTTGAGAAAGAGAGAAAATGATTCTAAAATGCACACAGACTTCAAAAATTATGAAAGAAGAAGCAAACCTAGAGGTGATTTCAAAAGATATTAAAATTATAGTGATACAAACTGCCGAATACTGTCATGAAGACTGAAGACTGACAGCAGGGGATAGCAATGGGAAGACATGTAGGTACTGATTAATACTCTAGAGAATAGTAACAAATTCTTGTCACATTCCTGCTGGCGTTATATTAGAAATGGAGTAATTAACCCCAAAAGATAGAGAACCCAAGAAAATGCAAAAAGCTCCAAAACTTTTAAGTAGGAAAAACCTAAAGGCATTGAGTGTCCTAATTAAGCACTACATTCAAATTAAAGAAATAAAAACCATTTAATCTTAGAATGAAGACACAATCAGCAATGTGAATGGAAGAGGGGCAGCATCCCTTACAAGCAATGTCAAATGAAATAATTATTCCCAAATCTACAATAGGAATATCCTGGGATCTTTCTCAGCGAAAGTCTACAGAATCATTTCTAATGAAACACAATGTGGTGAAACTGAGTATGTGTCCCACTTCCACAATTACTTGAACCCCTGGTCAAACCCTCCACTATACCTGGATCTTCGGCTACTGTTTCCTCTACCTTCCAGGGCTCCTTGTTCTCCACAGGTAAGCAGGTCTGGCTGAGCAGTGAGAGCCCTGCATATAAGAAAGAGATTTTTCAGTGAGCACCAGGATTTCTAACACAGTACTATGCTCAGTAGAAATAAAGGATTCTATAAATGATCCCCCAACTGTCATACAGCGTCAGCACACTGAAAATATTTAGGGAGCATTTGGAGTTTCTGTAACTTGAATCCCACTTCTAACCACACCTCAGTCAAAACCGAGTGTCTGATTTTATGGGACAAGAATGAAGGAAACCTTCCACCTCTCAAAAGGACAAACACGAAAAACAGATGAAATCTCGTCAAACTTCGCCTTTTCCTCTGAGGATTTTAACTTACTCTGTGAGGTGTGAGACTCAAACACACACAGCTCTCAAACATACAGACATAGTTATTTTCCTAGGAACCCTGAACAGGGGCAAGGGAAACCACAAGCAAGCTGCTCTCGCTCACAGAAACCAGAATGCTGCCGTTCTGCATTACTCAGTATCAGTACAAAACCCTATGGGCAGGGTTCAGGCACTGCCCCCTCGTCCCGAGAAGTCCACAGTCTCCTCACTGAATGTAAACAACCCTGAAGAAAAAGGCAACAGTTCGGCCATTTGTCAATGCTCATGGTGCTTTTTTTTTTTTTTTTTTCACCAGAAAAGCCGCTTTCTAAATTTGTCCTTAGATATTCTGTTTCCTAACTGTGAAAATAGTGTAGCCTGAAATCCTCACACACAGCATGCATACATTTCTGGACTCTGAGGTTTGCCATCAAACCTCAGCATAAGAACACATTATTCTATTTACATCAGTATGATACACTTCAAACGGAACATAATGGTGAGTATAAAGTTTTGTTAGTAAACGCTAAGATTTATAATCATAACCGTGTAGCTTTCAGTGGGGCGGTGGTGGTGCACGCCTTTAATCCCAGCACTCGGGAGGCAGAGGCAGGTGGTTATCTGTGAGTTCGAGGCCAGCCTGGTCTACAAGAGCAGGGCTGGCTCCAAAGAAACCCTGTCTCCAAAGAGCCCATATATATAATATTCATATATTCATGTATTCATAATATATATGAATTAAAAATCTGCAGTTATTCCTTTAGGGGCTGATAGCTAACAAGCTCTCTGGGGCCACCAAGTCTCCAAGTTAAATGCTACTCTTTGGAAAAGGGAAGGGGTAGGTCAGGAGAGTTAGAAAGTGTTTGAATTTAAATGCTAACAGTTTTGGATTTTTTTGCACAACAGCAAAAGGGACCATGTTTGCAAACATCAACGCATAAATTCAATTGTTATATGTGAGAATATTCTATGAGAATATTTTGGAAACCGCAGAACAATGATAAAATCAGCATTTGCCCCATTTCATACGATCTCAAAGATCTTCAAAGTAATACGCCTGCAACAAAATTGTGAGAGCGGTATCCTTAAGAATAGCTGATCCAGTTCCTATCGGCTTCCCTCGCAGCTCCTCTGACCTGGGAGGTTCCAGGGCCGCCGGGCTGCGGTTCCCCCACTGCGCTGCTGACTTCCCCAGGCCGCCCCGCGGCGACTGCGGCTCCGGGGAGTTTCCAGGTCCCGGCGAGATTCTGGTTTGTGTTCACCACCACTAGCAGAATACAACCGTTTCCCTGAGGTCCTTCTAAAAATGGAGGGTTTTCCGGCCCCTCCCGCCTGGGTTTCTTAGAGCCGCCTCTGAACCTGTCCATCATAGACAGGTTCCGGTTACGTACTCCTTTTTGTCCTTGCCACCCATTGAGTTTTCCTGGCGTTCCTAGCTTGTTTTATTTTTGCCATCACTCCTCTGGTCTAGACCAGTGTCCCTCCTCCTTGGAGACCCATCACTCCCACTGTTTCAGGCCGCCTTCCACACAGCTCCAGCAGTCAGGCTGCCCTGGACCCGCCCTGCACAGCCTCCCCACATGCTTGCTGCCAGCCTAGAGCAGAAGTGGTCTAGGACGCTGCACTCCTGTATTAGCGTCAAACTTCGACTTGACTACTAGCCTCCTGGACTACATAAAACACACCAAAAAATAATAGACTAAATTCAGATGCCAGTGTCCAATTCATGACACAAACTTGACAAACCAAAACCAAATACTGTAATTGTAGCTTGGGGAGAGACAGTTCAGGAACTTGGATTTTGAAAAGAAATGGGTGTCTCAAAAAGTCAGTGGTCAGCCCATTGCAGTAGTGGCAGGCATGCCTTCATGTTACAAAACAGCTTTCTAATTGTTTAAGACCCTCTTAACAAACAGGAAACCATGACAGGTGCTCCCTCCTGGTGCTGGTGAGGACGTGAATCTTGGAGGAAAACTACAACTACCACTATACTAAACCAGCATAATCCCTAACAAGAATCTAAACATTTTTCCTTGTACCCAGAAATAAGCAAGGTCTTTATCCCTCATCAAGAAAATTTCTCTTTGCAACAGAGATCACTACAAAAAACAACAACAACAACAACAACAAAACCAACAACTAATCAAATGCAGAGTTGTGGAGGTCAGATTCGATGGATTTCATCTACAAAATACTCCTGTACCTAAGACTAAAGAAAAAATTTTGAAGAGGGGATAGAAAGATTGTAAGAGTCAGAGTGGATCAGGGAGTTTGCTGTGAGGTTTGTGTTACCTAGTAAGGCCAGAGGCTATTCCCATAAAGATCTCACTAACAGGATCACCCAAAAGGAGCGGAACAAGGATAACAATGGACATGCCAAGTGGCTGGGGAAAGGTCCACAAGGACTCAACACTACACGCAGAACTAAAAGCAACTGGTGAATGCTTGGAGCAGGAGAAATAGTCTCCCCAGAGAACACACAATTGGTTACCCAATACCAAATGATCAGCCTTGAAAACATACATACAAGGAACATGACATAGACAGAATAGGTTATACTGAGAAATATATATGTATTACATGGATATATCAATATGCAGTAACAATGAAAAAAGAGGCCATAAGTTTAAGAGATCAGGGAGAGGTATATGGGAGGATTTGTGGGAGGAAAAGGAAAGGTGAAATAATAAAATGTATATTATAATATAGTATGTATATTATATATAGCATAGCATATATAGTATAATATAACATATACTATAGTATATTAGAGTA